TCGCACCTTTTTGCTATAATCAAAGGGAAGAGGAGATGAGAAGGGTGAAAACCATTCTTAGTCGCTCAAAACCTCTAAGGTATGTGTTCTTTGGCATCTGGGTAATTTCACCTCTTTGGATTAAATGTCTCAATTGACCTTTGACTATGAATATGGACTTGCTTCAACCGCGTCATGACACCATTTAGCCAAACACTTCTCCACATATTCCCCATGTCCAGCAACAGAAATTGTCACGGTGAATGGAAGTCCTTATAATTCCGCTAATCAAGGAAATATCCAAATCAATCCTTTAATAACCTAAAAGATTCTCCATGCCCAAACTTGTCACGAACCTAGTGTCTATACAAAAACTTATAAACTTGTGGTGAGTTGTTTCCAATGATCATTGTGTATTTAGGATAAGGATTCGGGAGGATGATTGGACATGCTAGAGATGGAATGACCTTTATTATCTTGGAGGGTCCCAACCTCCCAAGCAAGAATAAAATCTCTCACTCCTTCATATCTGAATCCTTGATGACCAGACGAGAAAAAATCATGCTTTATCATTCTCAATTCAAACCCCTCTTTTTGGAGTGATCAAAATTATATTTCCCTCTCTGTTTACCAAGTTCATATCATTTGGTATGGTTTAAATACATGTTAGGCTACTCCACATATAGCCAATTGGTTTTATGTTGGAACCTTAACATGGTATCAGAGTCAAATCCTAACATCTTTTCCGGTTATTGTCATGGGCCAAAAGTTGCCCTTTAGTTGGGTCAAAAGTACCCTTTGCCTGGTCCGGCAGGCTTCGTTGGAGGGGGTGTGTTGAAAGTTCCACATCGCCTATCTCATATCATTTGGTATGGTTTAAATACATGTTAGGCTACTCCACATATAGCCAATTGGTTTTATGTTGGAATCTTAACAATATATATGATACATAATTTTTATGTGTTAGGACCATTATTTATTAAGCCAAATAATAAAATGATCTGACTAAATTAAAGTTTTGGCTAAAGGCATATGTCATGAAAATAAAATTGTGTAGAGACCATAGAGCAATTTCTAATTTGATGAGGGGCCAAATTGGAAATACTAAAACTTAAGTAATTAACCTAATTCTGGTTATCTAAAGGGTCATGGTCCCCTTCTGGGAGCACACACACAGAACGTAAGTATCAGTCCCGTTCCTTTCTTTCTATCCCCATCAAGAGAGAAAATCAAGAGGGAAATACAGGTGCTCTTCAGGTGGAAGACCATAAGATCAATATAGTGCTCTACAAAGACATCATCATTATGACTAATTCAGGTACGCTTTCGCATTTAGTTTACAGCATATTTATCAGTATGGGATTATGTTTATGTTTGATCGTTAGAATCAAAATCAGAATTATTATTATTATTGTTTTTCCAACAAACAGTTCTAAATTAGCCTCTAAAGGATTTGATCATGTTTCCATTTCCCCGTCTTAAACTTCATATTTGTCCTCTTTGTTCCTTTATGTCCCTTTAGTCTCATTTTTATAAGTCAACTAACCAAATCATTGAATTGTTCAATAACCTTTAATGCCAACTTTTTTGTTATACAAGATCGTGATACAAGTCTGTTGAACATTCAAGGACTTGATGTTGCAAATAATGATCATGAAGAATGTTGATTTTGATGATGATCCAAGAGCTTAAAGACTTAGAGTATTGAAGATTGAAGATTGATGATTTCTGTATTGTAATAACTCTGTTTTAGTTTGATTGAGTCTGTAATTATAGAGTCTAAGATAGCCGGTACATAGTCTGTAACTTAGAAGCTTCAAAATGCTCAAATTTATCATGCAGGCTCGGTTTTAATCGATTATATAGGGAAATAATCGATTAAAACAAGTGAGAAAACCATTTTCAAGCATATACTCACTGTTTTAATCGATTAAAACATCAAAATAATCGATTAAAATGTCAAATAATCGATTATTTCACCAAATAATCGATTAAACCGAGAGGATTGGGTTCTGCGTATTTGGCTCTGTTTTAATCGATTAAAACTCCATTTAATCGATTATTTCAGTCTGTTTTTGATTTTAAATTTCAAATTAACCCTATTTTCGAAAACCCAATTACCAAGAACCCTAGTTTCGAAAATCCCCAATTCCTAAACCCTAATTTCCTTACTTAAACTCTGCTTTGGCACTCAAAAAAAAAAGAACAACTCTTTCCATACAAAAGTTAAGTGCTGTGAGTGCCAGAGAACTGTTTGTTGCAAGGAAAGGGAGCTTTTGGAACCTGGTGTGAGGCTAGAAGCGATAAGAATCACTAAGTGGAGTTCTTAGTGGATTGTGTGTTGTGCCGTCTCTAGGGAAAGCTGTTCTTCATCTCTTGTGGATTTCAAGAGAGGTGTTGTCTTTACTTTATCTCTTTGATTTGTAATCTGTTTTTAACAATTTGTTCTTAGTGACAGCGTTAATCCTCTTTTGAGTGATTAGCAACTGGACGTAGGGTCTTTTGATCCGAACCAGTATAAACCTACTGTGTAATCTTCTCTACTCTTCTCTATTTACATTTACGCAGTTTTGAATCGGTAAAATTTGGGGAAAATTTTGAAAACCTAATTTTTATTAAGAAACCAATTCACCCCCCCTCTTGGTTTTTGTCCGACCACGCGAACATTCCGCTGCGCGATTCTAACAAAGTCAACTGATTAGTAAAAGACATGAATCAAGTGGCTTATACTACTTGGGACTAAGTCATCAGTATCTTGTGTTGCATCTTCATCTTCTAAACTGTTTCATGAATGTTTAGGTCATTCTCACTTGTTAAAATTGAAAAAGATGATTCTTCAATTGAGTAGTCTTCAAACTTTGAAATGTAAATCATGTCCCGGGAAACATATTAGGTCTTCATTTCCAAAAAATTTTGAAACTAGACGTGATTCCACATTTTCTATTATCCATTTTGATATTTGGGGATCCAATCATGTATCCTCTTTTGGTTTCAAATATTTGGTTACCTTTATTAATTAGTTCTCTAGATGTACTTAGGTTTATCGAGTAAAGTGTATACCTTTATGGATGAAATTGACAATATCAGATTCAACTGTTGAAGTTAGAGGAGATGGAGGTGTTGACACAATAGGAGAGTCATCTAGTGGACAATGGAGATTTTGACCATGACTATGTTAGAATTATAGGCTGAGATAAAAAAGGGGGATAAATTTATCTAAATAGTAACTTTTCGCAACTTTCAGGTATAGATTATAATTTTCAAAGATTTAAAAATCTGATCAAATATTGAACCAAGAATTATCAAACAGAGTGAAAGAAAGAGATAAAAGAAGAATAAGAACACCAAGATTTATATTAGTTCATCCAAACTACTGGGCTACATTGCAAACACACAATCTCCGTCAAGAACTTTGTTCTAGTTCTTTAACCGTTGACAACAACCAAATTTCAGCTGGTAAAACAGTGCTCACACTTCCAGACACCAAGAATACAATGAATCGTAAGAGAATTGAGAAACTAGAAGAAACTATAACAATCAAATCAATATGAAAATGCAAGAATTCAGCTACAAAATGAGTTTCATCAAAAACCAAGAACAAAGAGCCTCAAGAAAGATTTTTGAATAATTTGCTCTTTAATCGATTAAAACAACTTATCTTAAATGAATTTAATTGATGAATTTAGAATAATGACTGGCCAAGGTTGGCTACACTGTATGAGCTACATCAATCATGTCTATGTTATCTACCCCCCAGGTTTTCCTAGTCGCTTCAATCGATGTGCTTGAGCCCGGAGTGAAGATTATACAAAGTTTCCTGCTTTTGGAAGGATGTTACATTGGTCGTCTTTCGGTTTTCGACTAAGATAATTATTTCTCTTATAGGAGTTTTTTTTTTGAACCCTCAGGACGTATCCTAGCGAGGAATATGGACTTTATCTTTTGCCCAGGATTCCCTTTGCAGGTTTTCATTCTGGAGGGTCAAAAGCAATCCCTTCAAGCATAATACTTCTTCACCGCATCTGAATTGACTGGGTGTCGAAGTTCCTCTCCATCCATATCGGCGAGGATAAGAGCTCCTCCCGAAAAAGCTCGCTTGACCATGAAGGGCCCTTTATAGTTTGCCGCCCATTTTCCAACTTTGTCCTTCTGGACCGGAAGCAATTTCTTTACCATTAAATCCCCCTCATGGTAAGTAAAGGGGTTGACCTTTCTTTGTCGTAAGCCCTTTTGATCTTCTTTTGATAGGTTTGTCCACGACATATGGTATTCAACCGTTTTTCTTCGATTAAGTTCAACTAGTCATATCGATTTTGGACCTATTCAACTTCTATCAACTTTGCTTCCATGATAACTCGCAGGGAAGGTATTTCGACATCTATCGGAAGTATGACCTCCATGCCATATACAAGGGAAAATGGAGTGGCCCTCGTGGAGGTCTGTACGGAAGTCCGATAACCATGAAGGGCAAAAGACAACATTTCATGCTAATCTTTATAGGTTTTGACCATCTTTTGGATGATCTTCTTGATGTTCTTATTGGCTACCTCTACTGCACCATTCATTTTAGGTCAGTAAGGATAGGAATTGTGTTGCTAAATCCTGAAGTCTTGACATAATTCTTCCATCATCTTATTGTTCAAATTGGTCCCATTATCAGTAATGAGACGATGAGGGATGCCATACCGACACAGGATATTCCTCTTGATGAAGGTGGTTACCACTTTTTTAGTCACATGTTCATACTTTGATGATATCAATCATATTCATACTCGTATAAAGAAAATCTTACAACTTTTACAGGACTCCTTTCAATCTCTCCACTTAGCAAACAAAATTCTAACCATGCAAGGTCAGAACAGGAGAAATTATGCGATGCTAAGGAACAATACTATCAGTAAGCAGCACTAATAAAAAACACGAGTCTGCTAGCAAAAACAAGACAATGGAATTGCATGTAGAGGGAAGTGAGTCTCAGGCTACTCAGGTTATACAAAAAATCCATACAAGGTTAGAGGCATTTGAAAGATGAACTGGAGTCATTGTAAAACAAATTCCTGGAACCATGTTAGGAAGAGCTCGTGCTATTTTCCAAGATAAAATTGAGTTTCAGTTTAATCAAAATGAAACTAAAAGAAAAATAATTATATGGACGTCACTTGAGCTATTAAATTAAAGATTCGAGAGATCTCTGAAATAAATATGATGAAATGACTAACAATTCAACAATATTCAAAGCTGAAGCTACAGAACATAACCATAACAATACATATCTTTTGGAACAATGATCAGTAACAGAAAGGCTACCTAACATTGAGAAGCATGAGAAGTACTTCCAAAGAAGGGGAATTTTTAGACATATGAATTGCGACACCAAATTTGGTAAACAATAAAAAAAAGAAATGGTGAAAAAATGAACTCAATCCGAGGACCTCTTAATGATTTTGTTAACACATATGCAAATTGATCTAATAAACTTAGTACAAATTTCCTTAGTTCTCAACTTTTCTTGAACGAAAAGACAATCAATGTGTTTTGTTTTCTCATGGAATAATGGATTAGAAGCAATGTGAAGTGCAACTTGTTAACACGTTTCAATTTTCTTTAGTTATGCTTTATTTAAAAATTTATGGTGAATCATTCTCAATTTAAAAATAATAATTTATTAATATTAATTTTTAATATTGAAATATTAACTTTAAAGGACTAAAATAAATTTATAAACTGTTAACACTGCAATAATACACAATTTTGTAAAAGATAAATAATACACAATTTTATAGGAGATTTAAAAGGCTTTTAGGAAAGAAATTCAATATTATTAAATAATCTAAGACGTGTTCTCTAAAAAAATTTAGATGGTATAATGGTAATTTTATGACCATAAATTTTGTCATGAAGATGGTAAAAAATCATCGTAGAAAGAGAAATTTATATATATATATATATATATATATATATATATATATATATTTTGTTATATAAAATAAATATGTATTCTGTACTTTCCGTGGGCATTTTTAATAACGTACTTGAACCTAACCCTAAGAAAATTGCGTTTTGCGCAGTTCCAATTACTCTTTTCTCCTTTTTTTTTTTATTTTTTTTCTTTTTCTTCACCATATTTTGCTTAACAGTACTACTTCCTTCTCAGCCATAGCCACAGCCACGCCGCCACCTCTCACTACCGCGACCAGTCCAGGTTGCCACCTCCAGTACGGCAAAAGCAAGCCACGAGTCGCCGACTCTGTTTTATTCCGCCTGTCATCTTCATTGGTTCTGTTATTGTCTCATCTCCACGCGCCTTCTTCTTCCTCTTCTTCTTCGTGTGGATTAGGGTTTTTGTTATGGAGAACACCGATGACGCTGGTCCATCTCAGCAACATGCCAGTCCCAACTCCTTCATCGACGAAAACTCCAAAGTTCTCCTGGAAAAGTATTTAAAAATTCTGAAAGAATTTATAGCCTCCAACGACCAAGGTCAACTATTTTTTTTATTTTAATTTCTTTGAATCTCGCGTTTACTCCCTCACTTCACTTCAAGATACGCTTCTCAGTCGATCTAATCGATCACAGATGACATCATGTTATTTTGCTCACTCAAGTTTGTAAGAAAATTACTTAGTATCAATGTGAGTTTTGAGTGTGTGTTGTCCCATTCTTTTCTAGAAGGATGAAATTGCTTGCATTTGTGAGTGTGTTGTAGCATTATTCTCAAGGGTAATGATATTGCTTGTATTATATATATTTTGTGTGCACATACACACGTACATTGCTTTATCATTCTTAGTTTTGTGCGAGTGCGAACGCTTGTATTGCTTTAATATTGTTAGTTTTGTGTGTGGGTGTGTTTGTACTATTTTTCTTCTCTAGGGTGATAGCATTGGTTGCATTGTATGGATTTTGTGTTAGAGTAGTATTTGTGCACTGATTTATATATTTTGTATGTTTGTATGCATTATATATTTTATGTATTATATATGTATATATTATATTGTATGTTGAATGTTGTTTGTAGTTCCTTTACTGTCTGTATTATGTGTCCAGTTTACATGTTTCATGGTATCTCGTCTGGTGAAGAGCGCAAGGTAGTGGACCGGTTATGCCACCTCATGGAGTTAGGTGTAAGATTCTGCGGGTGAGTACTGATTTGCAGCACATGATTTTTCCTTCTCAGTAAGTATGGATTGTTTGTAGGTCTGGAATGGAGTAGATTTTAATTTAACGTGTTTTATTCGGTTTTACATTTTTGTTTCTTGAAGTAGAGTCTGTGTTTTGTATAGGACTTCTGGTGAACAGAAAATAATTGCTTTCAAAAGGGATGGCAAAGCCTCAGATCATGTACTGGTACGTGGCTCTTTTGTATTTACATTTTTTTATTATTGTTGTACTTTTATATCGTTGTTTCATTGTTCCTGAGGCTCTGCATCTGTTTTGTTTCGATTCAGGCTGTCATGTCAAGGAAAAGGAAAAACAGAGAGGATCCAGATTCGTGTGGGGATAATAAAGGAATTGCTGAATTGAATAAAATCTGGATTACTCAAACATTAGAAAAGTTTTCAGCTTCAGACGAAGAAGGTGAGAATAGTGTAGAGTCCCCTTGAAGATGTTATGTTAGGTGTAGGATCAGAAATCGTTTTTATCTTTAAGATGCATGGGCCTGCTCTATCATGTGCTGAAATTCTCTTCATATTATGCAATTTGAATGAATAATGCCAAATTTATTTTCATTTAATCTTTTTTTGCTGTTTGTTACACTATCTTACATCAATTTGCTTCATAATGAAATTTCAAACAAAGTTAACTAGATCCAAATCATAATGCAACAATTGACTATCAAACTAACCTTAAGTGGTGGAGTGGGGAAAATTATTTTCTTTATTTTGATCAAGAGACCCACCCTGATTATTTGTTATGTTGCTTTTTTATGTAACCTTGGATTGTTGGCTAAGGTTTATTTGTGCCTTTGCTGTGCTTTTAGACCGTTTATGGAAGCTTGCTTACATTTGTGTGTCAGGAATGTTCTTGTTTGGATTAATTAATGTTTTAAATCCCTGATATAGTGACATGTGGTGGCAGATGCCAAAAACATTATATCAGCCACTATTTTGAATTTTTTTTTAATAATTTGTATAAATTAATGGCTTTTGGGTTCCAGCTATATTTTGGGGTTGAGTTAGGCATAACAAAGCATATCTTCCCACCTGTGAAACTTATTTAGAGTTTCAATGCAGTGTCAAAAGACACTATTACATTATATTTATAGATAAATGAGATACAACAGAGAGGATATGAGCCTTAGCCCAAACCCTTAATCCTAGTTTAAGGAACATACACAGATAATACAAAATGATAGAAAAACAACATGTCTCAACACTTCCCTTCAAGCTGGAGCCCATTTAACCCTCAGGTTAAGTGAGTTGGACTCGCTTTAACTCACTATTAAAATGTTTTAAAATTTTTCAACCTTACCCAGCTCAAACTTGTGGTGAGCTGGAATAAGACTCATATTGACACCTCTACTTGAAAACTTGGTAAAGAGGCAAAAATTTGATGTCATGTTCTAAGTCATTGGTGTATTTAATCTCCCAACAAAAAGGAAGTGTGGGAGATTTCATCCATATACAACATAAGCAAGGTAGAAAATGTGATTGGTATTAGGGTTTGCATTTGAGTAGTTATTCTTCAAAATCTTCATTAATCACGATGAGTATTCATTTCCCTCTCTCTTTTGCCTATAGACATATGACTGTAGATTACTAAGTTGATCCATGTCTATTTCTCTTTTTATTCGAAATTCATACCTAGTTATGATACTTGAAATAGATAATAGCAAAAATAAAAGATGTTTTTGAGATCTTGAAACTTTTCTCTTGTGTTCTCTTATTTATAGGGGATAAAGATACAAATTCTAAGATACAATAAATAGAGGGAAATGATTAAACCTAGAGAAGATAAAACAGATACATTCTAGGAATTAGGTCAATAGTTAGATATAACTAATATAATAAATATTCAACACTCCCCCTCAAGCTGGAACATACAAATTGTATGTACCAAGCTTGGAACAAATGAATTCCATTTGAGGCTCTCTCAAAGATTTTGTTAATATGTCTGCAAGCTGATCATTAGAACCAACAAACTCAGTACAAATTTCTTTAGACAACAACTTCTCCTGAACAAAGTGACATTCAATCTCAATATGCTTAGTCCTCTCATGAAATATTGGGTTGGAAGCAATGTGGAGAGTTGTTTGATTATCACAATACATCTTCATAGGTTGAATCTCACAGAAGTTCAGTTCTTGCAAGAATTGTTTTACCTATACAAGTTCACAAGTGAGAGACGTCATTGCCCTGTATTTGGCTTCAGCAGAGGATCGGACAATAACGTTTTGCTTTTTTGCTTTTCCGTGAAATGATATTACCTCCAAGGAAAACACAATAACCTATAGTGGATCGTTTGTCCATAGGAGATCCAACCCAGTAAGCATTACAATACCCAAAAATTTGGGCCCTTATCTTCATATAACAAACCTTGTCCTGAAGCTCTTTTAATGTATCTTAGGATTCGAATGATAGCATTCTAATGATCATCACAAGGGCTTGCATAAATTGGCTTACAACACCAACTGCAAACGACAAATCAAGTCTAGTAGTAGTCATATAGATAAGTTTCCCAACCAGTCTTCTATATCTTTCTGGGTCAGAGAAAGCTTCACCTTGTCCTGCCATTAATTTTAAATTTGGATCCATAGGACTGTTCAAAGGTTTGCAATAAATCATACCTGTCTCTTTTAGAATATCTAGAGCATATTTTCTTTGAGAAATAACAACACTTTCTCTTGATTGAGTTACTTCAATACCTAAGAAATATTTTAGATTTCCAAGATCCTTGGTCTGAAAATGACTACACAAGTGCTCTTTTAGCTGAGATATTCTAGCAGCATCATTTCCTATGATGACAATATCATCAACATACACAATTAAATAAACATGTTTTCTAGGGGCAGTGTGACAATATCATAAACGTACACGACCAACTGTTTTTTTCCCCGAAGGGAGAGGAACCGGCTCCCATGTTTTGCTGTGATCAAGAGCCTGCATTTCAGAAATCATGGTTTGTCGCCATCCAGAATGATCAAGTGCTTCTGCCAGATTTTTGAGGATCGTAATAGAGGATGCAAAAGAAATAAAAGAAAAATAGGAAGGAAACAACCTATGATAGCTAAGAAAATTGTAAAGGGGATGAGGATTACGAGTAGAACGAGTAACTTTGCGAATGGCAATGGGCCAACTGGAGTCATCGTTATCAGGAGTCGTGGTATTAGAAGATGATTGGGAAGGACCTGTTATGGGCGACACATCTTGGGGAATGGGATTGCTCACCTGGTTCGTGCATTGATAGGTGATGAGAGGCTATGATGATGATTTTGGAGTATTTTGGTTGGGAAGGGTGTCAGAAATAGGAGGTACAAATGACTCAACTAAGGGAATAGGAAGAACATGTTGGACAGAAGAAAGGCGGTGATTCAAAAAAAGTGATATTAGCAGACATGTAGTACCTCATGGTTCTAGGAGAATAATATTGATATCCTTTTTGAAGACAAGAATATCCCAAGAAGACACATTTGATAGCTCTAGCTGAGAGTTTATCTAAGCCTGAAGACATATCATGAACAAAACAAATACTCCAAATACCTGAGGAGAAACATGAAAGAGTGGTTCCTTTTGGAATAGAGTAGAGTGTGAAACTTTATTTTCAAGAGAAGAAGATGACATTCTATTAATGAGAAAGCTTGCAGTTAGAATAGCATCTCCCCAATGATGAATAGGCATATTGGCACCAAGCAATAAGGTATGAACAGTTTCAACTAAATGTCTATTTTTTTGTTCTGCAATACCATTTTGCTGTAGTGTGTGAGGACAAATGGACTGGTGTAAAATGCCTTGAGAACTTAGAACATCAGAGAAATAATTAGAAAAGAATTCTTTGGCATTATCACTTCGTAAAATTTTGATTACTTCTCCAAATTGAGTTTTGATTTCATTAAGGAAAGACATAAAGATAACAAATAGTTCTGAGCAATTTTTCATTAGATAAACCCAAGTACATCTAGAAAATCCATCAATAAAAGTAACAAAATATCTAAAGCCAAAAGATGAAACACGACTAGGTCCCTAGATATCTGAATGAACAATACTAAAAGCAGAATCACATCTAGATTCAGAATGATTTCGAAAAGATGACCTGATTCACATTCAAAAGTTTGAAGGTTCTAATGTTCATGAACCATTTTTTTCAGTTTTGCCAAATGAGGATGCCCTAATCGCTCATGTAACAGTTTTGGGGAGAAGGATAAAACACAAGATACCGATGAATTAGTCCCAAGGTAGTATAAGCCTCCAGATTCATGTCCTTCTCCAATTAGTCGACCCGTACCACATTCCTGTATAACAAAATAATTGACATTAAAGGTTAATGAGCAATTCAATGATTTGGTTAATTGGCTTACAAAAACAAGACTGAATGGAAAAGAAGGAACACACAACATTTTTTAAGTTTAAATAAGGAGAAATTGATACTTGTTCAATCCCTATAGAGGCTACTTTAGATACATTGGCTAAAAATATGAGTTGGGAGGTTTTAGGAAATGATAGAGAGGAGAATAAAGAGGTATTACCAGACATGTGGTCAGAAACACTTGAGTCAACAATCCACGGATTTTGACTTTCCACAGATTGTGAAATGCAAGCGGTTGACGAATTTGGAGTTGTAGATGCTTGAGCAGGACTGATTGATTTCATCCTTAAACATTCTTGATACTCTTCATGAAAGAACTTGGGCTCAACAACTTCAGATTTTGAAGTATTGACTGTCTTATTAGGATAGCCATGCAGAGCAGAGCAATTTTCCTTTTAATGACCCATTATTTTGCAATGAGTGCACTGAGGAGTCCTTTATCACCACGTCCTCTATTGTCGTGATTACCTCTTCCACGAGCAGAAATCATGGCGGAAGATTCAACAAGTTCTTGACTATTTTTACCTTTGATAGATGAAACACGAAGTAGCCTTGTGATCAAACTCTCCACAGAAAGAACTTCATGTCTAGTTAAAATTTGATCTCTAATATGAATAAATTTTGGATTCATAGCCTTAAGAATCATAACCATATAGAATTTATCCAGTTTCATTTTTTTCTGCTGTAATGAATCTGCCTCAAGGAACATTTTTAATTCTTCAACTGTTGATTGAGCTTTAGCAACAAAAGACATCATATTATTATCCTCTTTCTTAAGGGAGACTAGTTTATTAGCAGAATCATAGAGACGTTCAATATCATTAGCAAAGATATTTTGGGCCTTTTTCTAAAAGGAATTACATGTCTTGAAGGAACGGAGAGTGCTCAAAATATTTGGTTCAATTAATTGCCATAATAAAGCACAGAGTTGATAATCAAGTTTCTTCCATTGAGAAGCCTGATTTGCTGGTTTTGTACTTCCGTTGTCTTCTACATGATCATGAATCCCTTGTTCTAGAAACTAGAGCTCAACAGAGGAGGTCCAAGACAAGTAATTTTTTCCATTTAATTTTTTTCTGTTATAGTAGGAGTCCCAGGAAAAGATACAGATGTTGCAAGTCCTGACATTTTTTTTTTCAGGAACCAAGAGAGGACACTTAAGGAAAAATATCCAACAGGATGTTCAGAGAGAGAAGACAAAGAACAATGAGAGAGTACCAAGGGTAGATCCGGCTCCAAGACGATGAGGCGAGCCAGATGGCGGTAGTCTGGAGTGAAACGGCCACTGGGAAGGTGGCACGTAAACCACATGCGCGGAGGAAGCAGCGGACGAAGGTGACACGTGGCGGCGCGTTTAATAGAGATCCGGCTTTAGGACGACAAGGCGAGCCAGATGGCGGTGGTTTGGAGCGAAACAGCCATCGGGAAGACGGCGCATGAACCACACACGCAGAGGAGGCAGCGGACGAAGGCGGCACGTCTAACAAAGATGCCTGAAGCGACCACCAAGGTTGGGTCGTGCACCTCGAGGCAATCCAAACCCAAGAACGGCTAGTGAAATAGTGCCGGGGGACGACGTCCCCGGAGGCGTCAATGGTGGACGATGGAGAAAAGGGAGAGACGGGCAAAGTGGGACGAACCCGATCTGAAATAGATAATAGAAAAATAAAAGATGTTTTTGAGAGCTTGAAACTTTTTTTCTTGTGTTCTCTTATTTATAGGGGATAAAGATACAGATTTTGAAATATAGTAAATTGGGGAAAATGATTAAACCTAGAGAAGATAAACAGATACATTCTAGGAATTAGGTCAATAATTAGATACAACTAATCTAATAAATACTCAACAATGATATTATATTCAAATTTTATAATTGTACACCATAAAGATAGTTACTTGAAAGTAAAATAAAAATCTGTTTAGCAGCTAGGGTTTTTCTTGAATTCATAATTCCCAATTCTTCTTGCCAAATCTTCTTTGTAGCTCTAACTCAAAACTAAAAACTATTTATCATAACTTTTCAATACGCTACCAATCCCATTGGCATGGTTAAATTTCAAATTACTTTGGCTAGCTGATTTGGTCTCATGGACACTGAAAACATAGGAGTTATATAATGTATATTACTTTGTGTTGGTATGTGCATTGTATGTTGTTATTGTCGATCAATTCATGATCTGTGTTTTTTTGGTGCAGTGTACACTTTTGAAACTAAATTGTCACGTCGAGAAGGTGATTTAGTGTTTACTTTTTGCAGAGAAAGAGGTCTTATGTATACTCTTTATTGGTGAGTATCAAATTAAGTTGTGCATATATAGAATTAATTTCTATATTTCTAAGAAAAATTGATTCATGTGTCTGGAATGGAATTGCTTCAAAATCAACGAGTTTTTTTTTTTTTTTTTTCACATTTTGTTTTCTTGATATTAAAACCTACATTTTCTGTAGGGATGGGATTAAACAGAGAGTATCTGTTTATAAGACCAGAAAAGAAGTTGACAACATTACCATGATAGAGAATCTTCCTCATGTCACATGTTCTGCTGAATCAGATCAGGTATTCAGAAACAGCTCTTTTAGTTTCCAGTCTTCAACTATTCTCACTTGTACTTGATTCATTGTGTGAGAGATTATACTTATGCTCTGTTTTGGGTTTCAGTCTTCGATTATTCTCACTTGGACTTGATTCATTGTGTGAGAGATTATACTTATGCTTGTTTTAATTCAGATTGACAAGCGGAAGAAATCTCATAAGAAAGAGGAGCCAGAGTCAGCTCAACATCAAAATTCCGTTGTTTTTGAATCCAAAAGGGTTCGGATTACCCAGATATTAGAAATTTTTTTAGCTTCAGAAGATGAAGGTTTGACTCATTTGCCCATGTTTTTGTTTATTTTGGGGCCATTGTTATTTACAACATGAAGAAATATTAAATGTGCCTCATTTTTTACTTTTAAGAAAATCAGTTTCCTGGTTCATTGGATCTTAACTGAACATTTCCTCTTAATTTGGTATTTTATATTGATTTTGTATGTAATCATTTTGTGTAGTTGAAAATTTTTGAATTCTTTTTGCTAGCTTGTGAAAGCTCTTTGACGCTAAAATCTTAAAAGGGATGATATGTTTGTGTTGTAGATCTTTGAGGTTACGTGACTTGTAAATGTGTCCATTCATGATCTGAAATTTTACTGTAGTGTACAATTTTGAGGATGAATTATCCACCAATGATCGTGCTCTTGTGAAGCAAATATCCCATAAAATGGGGCTTAATTGTAACTTTTCTGGGTGAGTTCTTAGTGCACCACTATTAAATTTAATTCTGTAAAAGTTACAGTCTCATGCCTTGATTGGAACTGTTGCTATTTTATTTGTTTTCTCAGTTTTACGTATTATTTTATTGATATTAAACCCTCAATTTGTATAGGCGTGGGATTAGAAAGAAAACATCTGTTTACAAAACCAAAAAGGAGGTTGCCCCCGCCAAGTTGTTGGGTGGTCATCCTGATGTCACATTTCCCGAAGAGTCACCGCAGGTATTGGGAGATTTATAGTTTGGCTTAAAGTCAGTATTTGTGTTTAGACCTGTTTCATTTATGTCCACTTCTTTTTGATTTATGTCTCAATGCCTGGTAAAAATGCAGAATAGAAAGCAGACAGCGACACGACAGCATCAAAATCCCATTATTGATGAATCAACAAGGATTCAGATTTCCCGGACATTAGAAAATTCTTCAGCATCTAAAGATGAAGGTTTCACTGACTAATAATACCTCATGGAGTTTATTTTTAGTTGTATTACACATCGAAAAGAATATGGGCTACATTTGGTCTTTGAGAAAAGCAGTTAGTATGATTCAGTGGTCTCTTTCTGAACACGCTTGGTTAATTGGGAATACATTTTTTTCTTACTGTTAAATTTAAATCTTTCCGGATAGTCCATGAGGGCTCATAGAGATGTGAAATATTTAAAGGATAATTATATTGCTAATAATTGTAACCAAGGTATCAAACAAGAGATATAGCTAAGTTGGTACTGATATGTATCACTGATCAGAAGAAAATTGCTCTATATAATGGAATTAGAGAAATCAAACAGAAAAACAGTAAATATCTATGGATAAAAATAATCTCCTTACAAACATTGGATAGCAACTAAACAAGTAAAAAAAAAAACTAGATGAAGAGAAAAGCCAGCTTCCACTTAAAATCATTGCCCAAACCCTCAGAATAATTCCCCCCTTTCATTTCGGTATTCCCCTCCTTATATATCTATTTTCTCTGTCCCTTTTGGCCTTACATGATTCCCATATCACCCTTCCCCACTCTTTGTGCCACAAAACCCTTCTGTTATTTTTCCCTCGTTTGCAAACCTGACTTGTACTACTAACAACTGATATCAGTTTGTTTTGCTTATGCTGATTGTGTTTGTCTTACATTCACTGTCTTACCTTCGTCTGCAGTGTACTATTTTGAAGCCAACTTGTCTCCTGAAAAATTTGTTTCAGGAAATCAATTATCTCAACAAATGGGGTTTATAGTTGAAAATTCAGGGTAATTTCTAGCTGCAATTTATAGATAATATGAAATTCCTTTTTTAATTGTGTGAGAAATTAACATTTTTACTAATATATGTGTAGGAGTGGGATTAAGCAGAAAGGATCTGTAGACAAAATTTTAAAGAAGAGTCACACTACTCCCAACTTAGAGAATCTTCCTTGTTTCAAATTTTTTGTAGAGTCAAAGCATGTATTGGTAAATTTATTTACGCGATATCCACCTGATGAGGATCCTTGGGGAGCAATGAATGGAGCATGTGATGATACAACTGACAGAACAGAAGCAAAGGAAGATGATATTTTCAGCTGGCCTTGTATGGGAACAGATGAAATTGCCATGAGATTGGAGGTTCTTTCCAACAGAGTGAAGATTTCCCCTGACTTGAAACTGGTCCGTTTCTTTCCTGGCTTTACACTGCATAGACCATGTAAATGTATTTTGTTAGTTGGATTAAATCATATTATTTCTCATCAGCTGTAAGTGTAACATGTCATCATAATTTATGAGTAATTTTCTTTCTGTTCATGCAGATCAATGAGAGGAGATCTAAGCTTCCAGTTGCATCCTTTAAGGACATCATTACATCATCTGTTGAATCTCACCAGGTTAATAATGTTTTCACATAACTTTTTTGGACAAGCATCTTATTGGTAGCTTGGTTGCATATTGCAACACAACATGGTAATGCTGGCATGTTTTCTGGTCGTACTACCATTTTTAACACTCTTCAAAGCAGGTAGTTATCATATGTGGAGAGACTGGTTGTGGAAAGACTACTCAGGTATTTGCTTTGTCATTATTATGGTCTGTACCTTGTACAACCACACTCATATATTTGTCAATGATTCTATATAATTCTTTTGTGGTTATATGTTTTATATTGGTGCATTTCAGTTACCTTGCAAGAGGAACCCTAAGCTTCACATATATAAATATATATTATTGCATGCTATTTTTATAAAGGAAAAAAAAAATCTACAGACTGGTTGTTTGGTGCCCAAGATGAAAAGGAAAAAAAAAGCTAGCATTTTATTGATTGAATGAGCTTGAACATAGTTAAGAGAGTAAAGAGAGTTAAAAGAAGATTTATAATTCAGTGGGATACCACTCTCCACTCTATGATCTCATATATATATATATATATATGTAGGATTACAACATTTAAAACAACAACTACCAACAACCAACTAATAACCACTAACTAATAATAATTCTAACACTCCCCCTCAAACTGTAGCATACAAATTTTATGTGCCAAGCTTGGAGTTAAGAGAGTAAAGAGAATGAAAAGAAGATTTCTAATTTTGTGGGATGCTTACTCCACTCTATGATCTCATATATATATATAGGATTACAACATTTAAAACAACAACCACTAACTACTAACAACCACCAACCACCAACTACTAACTACTAACCACTAACCACTAACTAATAATAATTCTAACACTCCCCCTCAAGCTGGAGCATACAAATTGTATGTACCAAGCTTGGAACAAATAAATTCAATTCGAGGTCCTCTTAAAGACTTTGTCAACACATCTGCAAGTTGATCATTGGACTTGACAAATTTAGTGCAAATTTCTTTAGACAACAATTTTTCACGAATAAAATGACAATCAAGTTCTATATGTTTGGTCCTTTCATGGAACACCGGATTAGAGGCAATGTGGAGAGCTGCTTGATTGTCACAATACATCTTCATCTGTTGGATCTCACAAAATTTCAGTTCTTGAAGGAATTGTTTCACCCACACTAGTTCACAAGTGAGAGATGCCATTGCTCTATATTCAGCTTCAGCACTAGACCGGACCACTACATTTTGTTTCTTACTTTTCCAAGAAATAATATTGCCTCCAATGAGAACACAATATCCTGTAGTGGAGCGTCTATCCATAGGGGATCTAGCCCAATCAGCATCACAATACCCAGATATTTGGGTACCCCCTTTATCTTCATACAACGAGACCTTGTCCTGGAGCTTTTTTGAGATATTTTAGGATGTGAACGACAAGCATTCCAATGATCGATACGTGGATTTTGCATAAATTGACTCACAACTCCAACAAGCAAAAGATAGGTCAGTCCGGTAATGGTGAGATAAATGAGTTTCCCAACAAGTCTTCTATATCTCTCAGGATTAGAGAGCGGTTCACCTTGATCCGCCATTAATTTCGATTTGGATCCATAGGGTCATGTCATCGGTCTACAATCAATCATGCCTGTTTCTTTCAAGATATCTAAAGCATACTTTCTTTGGGAGACTACGATGCCTTCTTTTGATTGAGCCACTTCAATCCCTAGAAAGTATTTGAGACAACCAAGATCCTTAGTTTGGAAGTGATTGCATAAATGTTTCTTTAGCAAAGAAATTTTATCAACATCATTCCCCGTAATGACTATATCATCTACATATACAATTAAATAAACACATTTTCCTGAAGCAATATAATAAAAAACAGAATGATCTCGCTTCACTTCGTTTTAATCCAAAACTTTGAACAATGTGACTAAACTTTCCAAACCAAGCACGTGGAGATTGTTTGAGACCATAGAGAGAACGATGTAACTTACAAACCAAACTAGACTCCCCCGAGCAACAAAACCAGGAGGTTGCTCCATATAAATTTCCTCCTCAAGATCATCATGCAAGAACGCATTCTTGATATCTAACCGATGAAGAGGCCAATGACTGGATAGCCGCCATAGCAAAGAAAAGTCGAACAGTAGTCATTTTGGCCACAGGAGAAAAAGTATCACCGTAGTCAAGGCCATAGATCCGAGTATAGCCTTTTGCTACTAATCTAGCTTTGAGTCGATCAACTTCACCTTTTGGTCCAACTTTAATGGCATAGACCCAACGACAACCAACAGCCTTCTTCCCATGTGGAAGAGGAATTAAGTTCCATGTACCATTGTGCTCAAGAGCCCGCATTTCATCAATCATGGCTTATCGCCATCCAGGATGATCAAGTGCCTCTTTCACATTCTTTGGAATAGTAATAGTGGATACGTAAGAAACAAAAGAAAAATAGGAAGGAGACAATCTATGGTAGCTAAGAAAATTGTAAATGGGATGTGGATTACGAGTAGAGCGAGTACCTTTGCGAATGACAATGGGCCAACTTGAGTCACCATTATCGTGAATCGTGGTATCGGGGGATGATTGAGAAGGATCTGCGAGGAAGACTCATCTTGGGACATGGGACCGATCATTTGGCTCCTGTGTTGATAGGTAATAAGAGGCAGTGATGAGGATTCCGTGTATTTTGTGTGAAATTTTGGGTGTCGGGAGGAGGTACAAATGACTCCACTAAGGGTATAGGTAGGACATTTTGGACTGAACTAATATCCCGCATAGAAGAAGGAAAGAAGGGAGTTGACTCAAAAAAAGTGACATTAGCAGACATGTAGTACCTCTTGGTTTCGGGAGAATAACATCGATATCCTTTTTGAAGACGAGAATATCCCAAGAAGACACATTTGATGGCTCTAGCCGATAGTTTATCTAAACCTGGAGACATATCATGAACAAAACATACACAACCAAATACACGAGGAGAAACATGAAAGAGTGGGTCCTTTGGCAATAGAATAGAGTGTGGAACTTTATTGTTAAGAGAAGAAGATGACATTCCGTTAATGAGAAAACATGCAGTAAGAATAGCATCTCCCCAATGATGAACGGGCATATTTCCACCAAGTAATAAGGTACGAGCAGCTTCAACCAAATGTCTATTTTTTCGTTCGCTATACCATTTTGTTGTAGTGTGTGAGGACAAGTAGACTGGTGTAAAATGCCTTGGGAGCTTAAGAGAGTGGAGAAATCAGTAGAAAAGTATTTTTTAACATTATCACTTCGTAAAACTTTGATTACTTTTCCAAATTGATTTTTGATTTCGTTAAGGAAAGACTTAAAGATAGGTAATAATTCAGAACGGTCTTTCATTAGATAAATCCAAGTACACCTAGAAAACTTATCAATGAAGGTAACAAAATATCTATAGCCAAAGGATGAGACACGACTAGGACTCCAAATATCAGAATGAACAAGAGAAAAGACAGAGTCACATCTAGATTCAGAACGTTTAGGAAAAGAGGACCTAGTATGCTTCCCTAATTGACATGATTCACATTCAAAATCTTGAAGAGTCTGAAGTTCAGGAACCATTTTTTTTAATCTTGATAAGTGAGGGTGCCCTAACCGTTCGTGTAATAGTTTTGGAGACAAGGATGCAACACAAGATACAGATGATTTAGTCCCAAGGTAGTATAAGCCTCCGATTCATGTCCTTCGCCAATCTGTCGACCCGTACCACGTTCCCGTATAACAAAAGAGTTGGCATTAAAGGTTACTCGAACAATTCAATAATTTGGTTAATTGACTTAGAGAAATGAGACTCGAAGGGACATGAAGGAACAAAAAGAACAGATTTTAAGTTTAAAGACTGGAGAAATGAAGACTTGACCAGTTCCTTTAGAGGCTACTTTAGATCCGTTGGCTAAGGTTATGAGATGAGGAGTTTTAGGAAATGAGAGAGAAGAGAACAAAGAGGCATTACCAGACATGTGATCGAAGCACCTGAGTCAATAATCCATAGATTTTGACTTTCCACAGATTGTGAAATGCAAGCCGTTGATGAATTTGGGGTTGTTGATGACTCGTGCTAGATTACTCGGATTTCAACCTCAAATATTCCCGATATTCTTCGTGAGAGAACTTGGGTTCAACCATTCCAGCATTTGGAAAAATTGACAGCTTTATCAGGAAAACCGTGCAAAGAGTAGCAATTTTCCACCGTATGACCCATTCTCTTGCAATGAGTGCACTGTGGACGTCCTCTACCTCCACGTCCTCCTCTAGTGTCGCGACTTCCTCTTCCACGGGTAGAAATCATAGCAGTAAGATTCAACAAGTTCTTGATTATTTTTTCCTTTGAGAGTTGGAACACGAAGCGGTCTTGTAGTCAAACTTTCCATAGAAGGAACTTCTTGTCCAGCTTAAAATTTGATCTCTAACATGATCAAATTCTGAATTCATAGCCCTGAGAGTCATAACCATATAGAATTTATCCAACTTTTGCTTTATCTCCTCTAACGAATCCACCTCTAGGAACATCTTTAATTCTTCAATTGCTGATTGAGCTTCAACAATAAAGGTCATCATATCTTTATCCACTTGCTTGAGAGAGGCTAATCGATTAGCTCGAATCATAGAGGCGTTGGATATCTTTTGCGAAGATATTCCGAGCTTTTTTCCGAAAAGAGTTACATGTTTTGAAGGATCTGAGAGTGTTCAAAATATTTGGTTCTACTGATTGCCACAGTAGAGCACAGAGTTGATAATCAAGCTTTTTCCATTGTTGAGCCTGATCTTCTGGTATCTTACTTCCGTCTTTTTCTAGATGATCGTGAAACCCTTGTCCAAGGAACCAAAGTTCCACTGAAGAGGACCAAGACATGTAATTTTTTCCATTTAATTTCTCAGCCGTTATCGTGGGTGTTCCGGAAAAGGAGGTTGTGGGCCCTGACGACATGTTTTAAATAATGTAGATGTAAGATGGAGACAATGGAACCTGTAAGAAAGAGAACACCCAAGATAGCCTGAAGGTTACTGGAAGGTGGTCGGAAAATGACCGGGACGGTGGCCGGAAAATGGTCGGACGGTGGCCGGAAAATGGTCGGCCGGTGACCGGAAATGGCTGGCCGGTGACTGGAAATGGTCGAACGGTGGCCGGACGGTGGCCGGACAGGCAGAGTAGGACCAACCTGCTCTGATACCAAGTTAAGAGAGTAAAGAGAATGAAAAGAAGATTTCTAATTTTGTAGGATTACAACATTTAAAACAACAACCACTAACTACTAACAACCACCAACCACCAACTACTAACTACTAACCACTAACTAATAATAATTC